ATAAGTGATAAAGCAATTAAAGGTGGCCGGTGGATGATAGTAAGGATAATCTCCCACTGTCTATAAAAAGCCTCCGTGGCATACGTCTAATATAGCCTCTGGCAACTAAGTCCAACGACAAGCCGGAGAATGAGTGAAGGTGGCAAACTGGCGCCTCATAACCAGCTGCTTCGGGTAGATGGAAGTCCGGGAAGACAGTCCATCTAGGGAAAAGAACATCCTGATTTTAAATCTCAGCTGCCTTAAAGTCATATCCAAACACGAAAAAGATGGAAAGAAACCCAGACAGAAAACTCGGAGTGGAACCCTAAAGGCGTTTGGCTATCAACACAACTTTCCGGCAACTCCAGCAGCCAAGCCGTGCCTAAATGTAATGCCCTGTATTCCTTTGGATATTGTCGGTATGGGACCATCTAATTTGGACAGTCACCTAGGCCAGTGCCCTGGAGAGGTCACTCCAGTTTCACCCGCCAAAGGACTGAATTTTGACAAAACATGGCGATACCTTTATCTCGTGAGATAAATTGATGTATATATATATATGTAAGGTAATTGAACATAGAAACGGTTGCATTAGAGATATTTTTCTGACGAAAACGGCAAATTTTTACAAAGCCAAAACATTAACCTGAAAACCCCTGACATGTTCTTAAATAGCCTCGTCAAATCGAGACTTTCGTATAGGTGTTATGCATGGCACCAAACCCGTTCAGAAATATCTAAACTGTCAGCTGTATAGAACCGATTTCTTAGATGAATAGTTAAAATGGTTTTGAGCGAGCGAAACCAATGTTATTTGAAGACCATCTTTCCTTCTTCGGACCTTCTGGACTGGCGCTACATAATCACAAACGAAAAACTGTATCAAATAACAGAAACAACATCACTTGAGGATTTTTTTTTCAAAATAGAAACAATTAAAATTTATATTACATGTATCTCGAAGAGAAAATAATGACATAGTGAAGATATTGATATTCGACACTACTTCGAACAGAAGGTTAGGAAGGAAACCCTTATTAATACAGGAAAGAATGATAAGGACTCCAGAAACATATTTTCATGAGAAATTGTTTTAAGAGAAAGATTTTATAAATTTCAACTGACAACAGTTCTCGTTCCAAATGTTTCCTTATGAGAAAATGGCTTATATTACTATTGCCATTATCATATGAAGGACTATACTATTTCTATATATTCATTCCGCAGTTCAATTAAATTGGCATATCCCTTCTTAAGCTTCTTTAATACATCTAAAATAATTTCATTGTTTCGCCATTGTTATGTTACACTGTTGCGGCCGCTGCTACTATTATTAGCTACTTCGAATCATTAAAAAATTTCGTTCATTTTTAAAAACTTTTATGGTTTAAATACAACAAACCCATGACGATGTGGAGAGTAGAGATAATAATCTTTGCGCTTAAACCCCAAATTCTTCAAAGCATTGAATTTCCTTCCAGCCTTTTGAACAGAGCATCGTCCAGCAAAAAATGGGAAAACCTTTCCGCAGATTCCCTCTCAGTTTTTTTTTTAAAAAAAGAAAAAAACACCTTTAACAAAAACTTAGAGAACTATTCGTCACTAACTTTTCGATCTTTCTTAAAACAGTTATCAAAATAAATTTCTTCTCCCCCCCCCAATTCTGGCCATGAATTTTCTTCTTGATTTTATTCAGGCGTGAGGAACTCAAGTACCGTCAATCCGTGGATTTTTCTTTGATCTCCCGATCATAGTATTATAAACATGTCATATCATCTGCGATAAGTCATTTAAATGAATTCTCACTAGATTACTGAAAATGCAGCAAAATCAATATGAAGGCATCCCTTACGCTTGGTACTAGATTAGCGATAAGGTATCATCATTTTAGAGTTGAAATGGTTACATGTAACCGTAAGTTCTATGCTAATAATTTCTTCTTTCTTTCGGTTTCTTGCTTCCCAGTCAACTTCGATATTCAAAGATTTCTTAATCCTTTTTCCTTTTATTGTCCGCTCTCCTTAATAGTAAGTACCCAAAAAATGTTCTTAAAAAGCACATACCATGATGAAAAAAGGCCCCCAAACTTGATAAAAACAAAGTTTTATCGTCAAGATGTATGTTATTATGAAGGGAAAGACAATTGTTTATCCAGCACACGTTCGAAATTTTGGTTAAAAATTTTGTTTATCATGCATCAGCGGGTGAATCAAAGACTTAGTTGTTTTTTTTATGCGGTAAAAAACACAATGTTTTGGAAATTCTTCAAAAATCAAATAAATCTTGGATTTTAAGTACATGTTCACGATTTATTTACAATTTTTTTTTAAAAATCTTAGTAATTTTTTTTTTTTACATATGTTACCCTCACTCAATTAATTTTATGAAATTTCAAAAAATTAAAATGAACCCTCTTCATATTTATATTAGTTTAAAAAAAAATCCTTCCAGTTAATTTAAATAAGTTTCTTTTTTAAATACAGCAACGTATTCTTGAAATTGAAACTAAAATAAAAGCTTCAAAAAAGATTTTTCATTTTTTTTTAATTTATTTTAAACTTTAGGTATCGCGTTTTTGTGGAGGTCCATACTTAATAGTCTACTTTTTTCATATTCTGTAATACTCAGTAACCTTTTGTGTCTTAGTTGCTTTATTGCCTTCCTTGGGGGTGAAATGATTAAAAATATAAAACCCTATCATTATCATTTCTGATTATCATTCAAATATTTTGGCACTCAAGTTCTTTGTATATCTCTAGTTTCTCTGTGATTCTGTTGACCAAAATCCATTGATCGGTCAGTATTGGGTTATGAACATGATCAACAATTTTAGAAGTTGGCACTGTTGAAGGATTCCTAGACCGTTCGGCGTCTTGGTTCGGAAATCTTAGGATTGAACGCTGGCACACCAATTCTTCACAAATGAGTCTGGAGAACCTTTGCCATTCTCTATCATTACAAGAACCAGATTAGAAAAAGAAATGAAGAATAGCAGCCATTCACTGGTCATTCCTCATATTCTTACCTTGACAGAGTTTAAAAGAGTCTACCTGGCCTCATGGGAGATAAATTATTTTCCACCTTGTATCACCTTTCTTTAATTAAACCCGTTCCTGTCCGTCTCATCTAAGACCCTTCATGCTACGTGTCATGGGGTCCACCCCTTTTTCATACAAGTGGACTCGACCAGTGTGTACCTGGACTGCTGCCGTTAAATACCCAGAGCCAGTCAGAGTAGAGAGACGGAGAGATTGTGATTGAGTTGGAGGTAGAGTAATAGTGTGAGGTAACCGCTTATAGAAGTCACAGTTGCGAGCACGTAGACTCTAAGGAAGTCCTACTCCGAGACTGGATTTACTACTATATATATATATATATATATATATATATATATATATATATATATATATATATATATATATATATATATATATATATATATAAACTGTGTTTCTGGATTTACTAACCGTATTACCAATTGTATTATTGTGTAAATACATTTATTTGTTATATTTCATTCCTGCGTTTGTCTTTCATTGGAGACCGGATTTCATCTCGGAATCCACAACACTACGTATACAGGATCTATTCATCTTCATCCTCTTTGTATTCCATTGATAAGGAGGAAGTTATAGCCGGAAAGATTGTTCCCAATAACCTCTCTTTTGTGGAACACTCTCCAGAGAGGATTTTTTTCTCGATCAGTACAATTTTAACCTCTTCAACTATTATCTATTAACTATTATCTACCTTCAGCAAGCTCATTCAGTAATCCTCTACCTTAAATGGCTTTTGGGCCTTTTATCGTTTGAACAACAGTAAAACAGAAAATGCACATGAGTGGAGTTCTTTTGGAATTGTCTACTGCCAGAACAGTAACTTCGTGACGTTATCAGAATAAAGCACATTGTAATTCCACATTCAACCAATTATCTGTAACAAATTTAAACAAATAAGTATCCAGCAAATTGGAACTTTACGATATTAAATAATATGTTCCAGCTTCAGTGACAAAATGATTTCCTTATATCTCGAGGAGGGTTCAGGTCGATAACTTTTCAGCATTCCCTACTAACTTATCTGAAAGCTGGAATTTGACACTCAGGAGACAATGAAAGCAAAAGAAACCGAGAAAAGCAACGAATAACCTACGTAACGAACTTGTGTAAATGATTAGTTATCAGAAGTGGGATTGGGAGAAATAGCAAAACGACAGACCTTACTAGGAGCTTCAAAGAATAGGAAGTTGTGGACAACCACAACCGCCCACGTACTGAAGGGACACGGTATATAAAAAAAGAAGAATTTTATTTTGAACAGGCTATTAAAGTTGACGTAATGTACTTTGAAAATAAACGGGTACCCTGCATTGCCATAAGCCCTCATCGGAATACCTTATCCCACATTACCCCCACCACGAACTATTATGCCGACCGCCGCCATTATCACCCCAAATCCTGTATAGCAATTCCTGACACTTTTCACAAATGCTTACTGATGCCGTCAGCGATTCTTCTACAGAATCCTATGACTGATAGCCACTGGCTAGCAGTGGAGTTTCCCACACCATTTTTACAGAGTGCCGAGATGGATGAGATTATAATGGTTCAAGTCCCAATTCCTTAGTTCTCTGATAATCATGGAGAGTAAGGATGTATGTGTGTGAAAAGAGAGAGAGGGGGGGTAGAATCTATGGTGTTTAGAAATAGGAAGGAGAGAGCGTAAAGATTATTCCATAAAGTGTTAGGAAAATCGGAGAGAAAAAAAGAGGGTTTTCTAATAAAGGATAAAGATAAGGGAGGGAAAGGGAGATAAAGAAAGAGAAGGTAGAAAAATAAAAACGGACGAAGAAAGAAAGAAAGAAAGAAAGAAAGAAAGAAAGAAACAAACAAAATGAGAGGAGAAAGATAGAAAAGAAAAAATGGATGAATTAAGGAAAGGAGAATATAAAAGACATAATGAAAGAGATTAGAAAAGGTAAGAAAGATGCGGCGAAAAATGAAAAAAAAAGAAGAATTTCAGCAAAGAAAGAAAGAAAGAAAGAAAGAAACGATACTAAAAACCTGAGGAAGAAACCAAAAGAAGGATAAATGAAAGAAGCGAAAATGAAAGAGTAAACAAAGAAAGAGATATGAAAGAAATGATAAAAGACAAAAAAGAATAGGCAAATAAAAAGTGGAGCAAGATATAAGTAAAGGAATAATGAATGAATGGAGTAAACAAAGAAAGAAAGAAAGAAAGAAAGAAAGAAAGAAGGGAAAAAGGCAAGAAGAGAAAGACTAATCAAGCAAAGAGATAAAAAAAATTAAAGAAAAAAAGAATATTCGAATTGAAGTAAGATACTTGGCAAATGAATGAATTAATGAAATAAAATCAGAAATACGAAATATCAACGCAAAAAAAGAATGAAAGAAAAGAAAAGAATAAATGAAAAAAGAAAGGAAAAATCAATGAAAAAAGAAAAGAAAAAAAACAAAGAAAAAAAGAAGGAAAAAAATCAATGAAAAAAAGGAAAGAAAAGAATCAATGAAAAGAAGTAAAGAAAGAAAAACGAAACGAATTAATGAAAAGAAAGAAAGAGAGAGAGAGAGAGATAAAGAGAAAGAAATGAAGTAAATCTGAATTTTCCCCAAGTAGGGGAAAAATGGACAGAAAAAAAGATGAGGAAGATGTAATATATACCGAAAATAACAGTGAAGCAATTGGCACAATTCTGTTTAAAACAAGACAATACAAGAGAAAGTGATAATAGCAAACAAAGAGACGGTAAGCAATAAAGCAATAGAGTAAAAGCAACATGCGCAACAAGTAAGAGGGAGTAATGACGAGGGCTATGGGGTAAGGGACAGTTCCTGCTGATCTACCAGACTCTATTTAATCCACATTACCAAGAGCAAACTGAGACCCGGTTGTTGTAGCGGGAGTAATCAAATTGACAAACATTATTACATCGAAGATTGATTTCTTTTATTATGTATCTGAACCTGACCTGAAAATTTGAGACTCGCTAACAATTTTGCAATAAAAATACAATTCAACGTTTCCTAAGTTCAGATGAAGATTCTTACAACTGTTTGGACGCTTCGCCGTGGCGTAGTGGTTAGCAAGCTAGTCACGTAAGCGGTTCCTACGATAGTGCTTTTAATTCTCACATAGTTCTTTTTATACGTAGACTAATCTGAACTGAGTGAAAATTCTTTTATTACCCATCTTTTTTCGGACTGGGGTAATAATGACTCTCTATAAGTCATTTGTTTTTCTAAGTCTTTTGTTTCTCTAAATGGTGAGATAACTCTCTACCATCATTTTGTCGTGATTTTATATATATATATATATATATATATATATATATATATATATATATATATATATATATATATATAATTTTATTTTACGCAGATTTATTGTTACCTTGTTCTTTCTCCCTGTCTATCTTGTTTTCGATATGCCTTGTGAGTATTAAATTTCCCAAGCCTTCAGGGTGAATTCTTTGGTAACAAAGAAAAGAATACTGAGCTGTTACATGACACCTTTCCTTCTTTAGGGCAGAGAATGTTGGACGATTTCCTGAAAGATGAAGAAGAGACTCGAGGCGACGGAGATGTGGTTCTACAGAAGGATGCTGAGGATATCATGGACCGAGCGTTTGGGCAACGATGAGGTCTTAGAAAGGATTCAAACAAGGAGGAGGCTTATACTTAAGATCAGAAAGAGGCAGCTGAAGTTTCTGGGACACATAATGAGGAAGGAGGGCCTGGAGAATCTGATACTCACGGGTCGAATAGAGGAAAAGAGAGACAAGGGACTAGCGGGCTTAAGCAAGTGGATGACAGAACGTGGTCTAGGGGAGGTGGCAGAGGGAAGGAACTTGTTGAGAGCTGCAAGGGATAGAAGGAGGTGGAGAGCCATGATCGCCTACGTCCTGAAAGGATATGGTACATAAAAAGAAAAGTAAGCCTTCTTTCGTCATTATGTATTCCAAAAGCTCAGCTTAGCTGTCTCTTTCTGAGTGTTAGAAATAGTTTTCTTGTAGCTAATATTCTTCTTAAAACTTCCTCATTTCCCACATACACTTTACATGGTATTCTCGGTAATTTTCGGCAGAACAACTTACATTTCAACGAAGTAATCCTTTAGAAACAAATGCGCTATTAGATAGATAGATAGATAGATAGATAGATAGATAGATAGATAGATAGATAGATAGATAGATAAAGATAAACCGAGATGGCCTTCAAAAATAAATTTAATGATAAAAAGAAAAATATTGAGATAAAATATTTCATTTTTTTCTTAATAATCTTGTTCCCACAATGCAAGGTCCAACAGCCAATCAAAACTGCGAAGTCCCAACAGCCAATCAAAACTGCGAAATTAGCTTGTTGTGTGGGCGTACAGGGAACAAGAGGCTTACACAATTAGTATATGTGAGGTAGATGTCGGCTGACCCTAGATTTGAAATGTTTAAGTGATAGGGGGAAGCATTCTCTCGGGAGTACGTTCCACAATTCAACAGTTCTGACGAAGAAACTATTGAGCAGAACTTCCTTTTTATGGATGCAATATGCAGGTAATTAGGATTTGTCGACTCATGGCATGGCGGGTCGTAGCTATGAAGGTCTGGATTGGTGCATGCAGGAAATGAAGTTCGCCCGAACATATACCATGAAAATAGTGATAGTGGCTAGAAACACTTCATCTGTAAGAAAGTGTGGTAAGATAGGAAACTATCGAGTCTGGAAAGGGATGACATACCAGGCTAGGAACCTCATTAACACTACAACCGTTCATTATGTTTGGAGAAAACTCAGTCTGTTCTGTGTTGATGAACGTTAGAGGTTGGATTGGAACTATTGAATAATGGTAATTGTTTTGAAATTCTTAGTTTGAGGATTTGGTAAGTGGAATACCAATGCCGAAAGCTGACGAACACCAATTTTAATTAGAACGACGTGATTTGAATTTGAAATACTTTAGTTAATTGTTATTATAACTTTTCATTTTTTCTAAATGATAGCTTTGACGGAAGCTCTTAACTTTCGTCATCAGTTCCATGAGAAAGGGCAACATAATTAGATACAAAATTAAATCTTAGAAAAAATCGTCGTGAATCAAATCAAATTTTCTATTTGATATTTCCATGGGAATAGACACTGGTCCGAATAACTTATGAAATGAGAATAGCATGTCGTCGTGGATCAAATAAAAGATTCCATTTGATATTTCCATGGTAACTGACACTGGACTGAATGACTTATGAATGAAAATTGCATATCGTTGCGGATCAGATAGAAAGCTTCTATTTGATATTTCCATGTGAATGAACACAGGACCGAATAACTTATGAAATGAGAATAGTATATCACCGTGGATCAAATAAGATTCCATTTGATATGTCCATAGTAATTGACACCGGACCGGATAACCTATGAAATTAGAATAGCATATCGCGGTGGATCAAGCTAAAGCTTCCATTTGGTATTTTCACGAGAATTGACACCAGACCGGATAACCTATGAAATGAGAATAGTTTGTCGTTGTGGATCAAACAAAAGATGCCATTGGATAATTCCAATGGAATGGACACATGACGTGACATGAAGCTATATGAAAAACATGACGGCGCTGATTAAATAAAAGCATCTTTTTAAATTTCCCTAAGAATATAATATAGAATAACAGTTCTAATATAGAATAACAACAATTAATTATGATTATGCAACCCCCCTCTTAATTTATACACACACACACACACACACACACACACACACACACACACACACACACATGTATATATATATATATATGTATGTATATATATATATATATATATATATATATATATATATATATATATATATATATATATATATATATATATATATATATGCATGTGTTGAGGTGGACATCGAAGTTACCTATGGGTGTTGACTTTGACGTCCGATTTTATATTTACATACACTATTTTAATATATTAAATAATATTTTTTTTTAATCATTTTTATCTCTGTATATTTGCTCGCTTAAATTATATTTCAGTAAGTGCTGAACATTTATGTTTTGACACTTTCAGTCTTAAATATTTATTGGTTGTTGTATCCGATTGTTTGGGTCAATGTATGTGGATGTGTGTGTTATGTATTTATTATTGTCTATGTGTATGAAAGTATTCACTTTTATAGTGTATGTATGTATATATATATGCGTTGGTTTCTTTCCCTCCCCGCCTTCTTTTTTTTTTTATACGATCGTGGTGATGTTCTCTGTCTCGTTTCCTTTTGTGTGTGTGTTATTTAAATATGTCTGGGTGCTTATATATTATAATCTGATTGCGTTTGTTTTACGCGTGAGTTTAAGACCCCATTCACACACTTTTAGGATTAAAACGGATACATTGTCAAAAGACCGGATATAAAATTAGCTAAAGTAACTTCAATGAAGAAATAAATTGAATAACATATATATTTCTTCTTTTCTCCTCAGTAATTTTATAGTTGTAAACTTAATAGCGATTAAATTTTGATCTTGAAATTAGCAGTTTTTAATTTTAATATTAAATTTTATCATATAATTTAGTAATTATTGGTTAGAATAAATTCTTTTTAATACTACCCATATTTTAAATATTTGAATAGCGATTATAACATGACTTCGTTGTCAAGCTTTTTGAATTTTCCTATACTTGTATTTTGATTGGTCCATCTAGCTTTTGTAACAACGTTTTCCCTTGTGAAGGATTGTTAATTAATTCGAAACTTTTAAAACCATTTATTTTACATTCAGCATCATCACTTGATAAGACACTGAGGGTGTTGAAACAAAAATGGCTATTTTTGTAGTGATTTTATAACATGTTATAATTTTTCTAAATAAATAAATAATTATATATATATATATATATATATATATATATATATAATACATAAAACACACACAGATACACACATATATATATATATATATATATATATAAATAAAAAGAAAGAACAGTAAGATATAAAATCCGGTGTTCTTATAGATATTTTTATTTTACAAAATAGTGCTCAATGTAAATTTACAGAGCATTATTATTAAAATTATTGATTTAATTGATTTTTTCGCTACAAATCCAACCATGTTTAGCTTCTATTTTTGAAACATGGTTGGAACTGTGTAGCGAAAAAACATATTTTAAATCAATTAATTTATAATATATATATATATATATATATATATATATATATATATATATATATATATATCACTGTTTGAACCGGCTTCTAATGCTTCGGATGGAGCGGCTTTGGGGATAGAAGATGTGACACATGGGGGGCTGTTATGTTGGTATAAGTAGATTCGGATGAGTCACACGACGGAATTTGGGAAGAGCTGACGCTATATCCATTTTGGTTTGTTTCACATCATCACCGAGACACGTTGGTCCATTGTCTATGACGCTTGCCTCATGTCCTAACGGGCCGGGTTCGATTCTCAGCGGGTGCACGCTAGTGGTGAAGTCCCAAAGATAATGCGCAGCGGCCGTCCTGTGTTTTTGTGCATTCTATTGAGGATTCTTCTATATTCGATGAATTGATTATGAATGACAATATACATTCGTGGATCAAATCAATGTCCTTTTGATATTGCCTCACCAATTATACTGAACGAGAAAGACAGTTGAAGACAGTTTATCCTCATGGGTCTAACTAAATTTACTTTTGAAGTGACTCCTGATTAGACATGTGAAGGAATACCCTAAGTGTTGAACAAATCTTTTTATCTTCCCTACTAGCAGCATGGTCCGGCGTTGCCCGTGCTTGATTCAAAAATCGTACGACTCATACAGCAATCGCTATCACTTGACTTAAAATATTTTTGCCCTTCCTTGCCTTTAAAGGAGTGCCCTTTGCCGTGCTGATGTTGCTGCATGCCTTGCTTCTTGCCTATCTCACACTGCGAATTTTTTCTAACCTCTATACTAAACATTAAATCTGTTACGAAAAAAAAACTAAAGAAAATGAACACAAAACGATCAGCTTTAAAAAAAAGGACTCGTACCTGGAAAAACCGAATGAAAAAAGAATGTTAACAACAAATATTTTTTCACACCCAACCCAGTTCTGAGGAATCAGAATCAACGTTGAGTTTAAGCAAGCGAATGAGCCAATTGGAGTAAAATGCCACGCAGATTTAAATTTTTCCCACTTGTGACGAATGCAGCTATCGATTTTTTTTGCATGCTAGCATGCTAGTTAACATTCGTGTCAGTCAGCTGTTGGCTCTCACGCTGGCCAATAGAATCTTCCTGCCTATTCATGGCAGCCAGCTATAGGCTCTCACTCTGGCCAGTACAAAATGGCCGCAAACTACATGAAAACTGACGTAGATCCCAGTCCTCTCTTTATGGTCATGAGACTGGCTTGCTATTCATTCCTCTCTTATGAAGTGATCTGATATCTATTAATCTTAATATTGGCCTCACTCATTAATAATTACCAATTAAAAAAATCGTCTGCTTCTTTATTAGTTCCGTTTTGGGGACTGTTGTCACCTACATTGTGGCTCACCTAACATAATACGCGAAATTGTTGTTATGAAATCTGTGATTGTTGTTACGAAATGTGTAGACTATTATTGTAGACTCTCCTGTGGAGTACATCTCTATCGTCTCATGTCACGGCTATTGCTGTTTTTGTAGCAAGGAGGTTTTTACGAGCTAGAGATGCTAGTCGCACACGCAGACAGTTGCTAGAGAACTCAAGCTGGGAGGAAAAGAAATAAATTCATACCTTTCCAAGGGTATATGTCTTAAAGCGAATGCAATGGCGTCGGCTGGAATTTGAACCCGACATGCCAATCACACTTACGCGCCGATATTCACTATGCGACGCGCACATCCACATCTGGGATTGTAGATGGATTGGTTTACTTGACTTTGTTTAGCGGCATATCAATCTCTATGGGTCATTTAATGCTGAAATCTAAATATTTTGAACACAATTTTATGGCTTCAGCTAAATGTATTTTGAACGCAGTTCTGTGCCTTGAACTACAGCTAATGTGTACATAATTTTATATTTACAGCATAAACATGTTATATATATATATATATATATATATATATATATATATATATATATATATATATATATATATATATTGTCATCCAAAAACTGTTTCACTGTATTACAGCTCATCAGTGTGGCTAGACGTCCGGTAGCCTCTAGCTAGTATCGAAACCTGGTTGAATTGGCGTCAGTCGGAGATTCTACTCCTAAGCCGACAGGGATGAAGGTGAATTGAAGCGTATTTATTTTTAGATAAACACACAGTGACTGAGAGGATTCGATTCGCTTTACCGTAATAGTCCCTGTTTACAAACTCACACTTCCTCAACCGAAATAAATTTTTCAGGAGCATATATATTGTCAGACTGACTGTTTCGCCGTATCACAGCTCATCAGTGTGACTAGACGTCCGGTTGCCTTTAGCTAGGATCGAAATCCGTTTAGTACGTAAGTGATCTGTTGTAGATGTTATATGTGTTGGAATAAAGTTATTTCTTTATGTTAGGACATTATATTGGCGGTTTTATTTTTTTCAAATAGTGTTTCGTTTGGTTGTTATTATTTATGTCAAACCTCAACTTTCAAATTGAATGCAATACCGCAGTTCCAAAATCGACCTGTCCTAATCGTGGACTTTAGAGACTCAAAATAAGTATTTAGCAATAAAGAAATGGAAGTCAGTTAGGTAAAATTAAATCTTCAAGAAAAGAAAGTAAGAATAAGTAAACTCATTAAGTATATTAAAGTGGGTCGGGGGGGGGGTAATGAGACTTGTTGCCCATTGTTCTTCATTAAGAGACAGCACATACTATAGGGTTTTTTTTTTAAATAAATAAAATAATAAAAGTGATGATGATGATGATGATGATGATGATGATGATGATGATTAAGGAAATTAGAACGGAGGGGAGAATTCTGTTATATTTATATTACGTACATGATCACATCCGTAAATAAACGCGTTAATAAATAGTTTGAGAGAGAGAGAGAGTGGGAGAGAGAGAGAGAGAGAGAAAGTGAAAAAGAAAAAAAAAGGAAGAGGGAGGGAAGAAAGGAAGAAAGAAAAACAAAAATAAACTAACAAACACAACTTAAAGCGGGGAAGAAAAAGAAAAAAGTGAAAAGTTGAGAACGCGAAAAAAGTTTTATTGACGTCAACGGGCCCGATATGTCCTCTGCTTTAGCTTATTTTTATCGTCCATAGTTGAACTGGTGAGGTTATATATATATATATATATATATATATATATATATATATATATATATATA